TTTAATAAAACTTTAATACATATTTTGTTCCTCGATTTATTTTATTAGCACATAACAATAGGAGTTAATAAATTTTGGATTCGCTACGCTGCGTGTATTTTTCAAAAACGCTATACTGTAACACTTATTGTACCGTATATGTGATTAAATAACCTTTTTTTTTTCAGAGATAAATTTAACACACTGACAACTTAAAAAATATTCACTTTCGGGTTTCAATTTTATAAAAATCAATTTCGGCTAAATTTTAGGTTTCGGCAAGGGTTTCAGATTTCGGCATGAGTTTCGAATCAGGGTTTCCGACTTTCGGTTTCGTCAAAACCGTTAAAAGTTTCGGTCACATGTATAGTACGAACAAAAATCGATGTCAATTTTAACCTCAAACCCCTTACAGTAATGAACAATTGTACTGATTAATGGTTTTAAGGTGTTATTCATATGCCGCGGCTGCGCACTTCGGGGGTTGACTCATAGTTACACTGTCACACAAGATTTGCATATATATATATATCGATATCTGATAAAAATTTTTTAAAACTTCGAGATTAAAAATACTGCGAGAATTTTTTAGATCTACAAAATGTCTAAGTCGGTAAGTCTTATAATCAACGTATTAGGATTGGTAGAATAGCAAAACTTACCATATAATCGCTAAATTGTAGGAATTTGTTGGGTCACGATTTTTCAGAGGTGGATCAGACAGTGAATCAGAGGAGGAGGATATTATTTCATCGGATGAATTATCAGACGAGGGTGATATTAGTGAAGAACCAGAGTCCGAAGATGAAGTAGTAAAACCACAACAATCAAGATATCTTAAAGATGCCACCTCAGATGATAGTGATTCTGAAATTGACAGAAAGGAGCGGTTCAAGTCTGGCAAAGATAAAAGGATGGAAGCAATTGAAACTTGTATAAAAGCTATCGAGAATGCGCAAAAAATTAATGACTGGGTCGTGATTCAAAATGGTATGTTTGTTGAATTGAATTTTGTGAATTGATTTTTTGGTAAGCAATATCGAAGAAACGAACATTAATACATATTTATTTTTAAGAATTTGACAAATTAAATAAAATAATAAGCAAAGATCCTCTCAGAATTCCGCGCTTATATATCAAAACAATCGCATCACTTGAAGATTTTTTAAATGAGACTTTACAGAAAGAAAAGGAGTCAAAGAAAAAAATGAATGCATTACAAGCAAAAGCTCTAAATTCTATGAAACAAAGGATCAAAAAGAATAATCGATCATATGAAAATGAAATTGAAAAATGGCGACAGGTAAAAATGAAACTTTATATAGTTTAATAGTGATAAATTATAGTTATACTAATTTATTTTAACATATAGAATCCTGTCGATGAGACTGAAGAAGATAATGAGGATGAAGATGTTGGAGTTGAGAAAAAGAGGCCAGGAAAAGATACTGGTGATCTTGACTCACAATCAGACGTGTTATCCGAAGAGGATGCTGGAGGAGAACAGTTTACTAAAGTAGGAAAGAGTAAATCTGTAAAATTTACATCCGATAACTTGTTCAAGACGTTGAGAGAAATAATGGAAGCGAGGGGAAAAAAGGTGAATTATAAGGTCCTTTTTCGTTTAATGACAATTGTCGTTGACATAAAACCAATCATATCCGATAATCAAGAATACCGACCGCTTGGAGCAAATCAAAACTCTTCAAAAACTTTTGGAAGTTGCTGCAACACCGTATCAACAAATTCGCGTATTGATTGCTTTAATACCTGCTCAGTTTGATTATAATCCCAGCATGAGTAATTATATGAATGTTGATATGTGGAAAAGGTGTGTTCAAATGAATACAATTTATTACATTTTTAATCGTCGCGAAATTAATTATTTTGTACGTTAAAATAGCACCCAGAAAGAGATTAACCAACTTTTAACAATTCTTGAAACTAATCCTCAATTCATGATTCATGAATTTATGGAGGAAGATATTGATGATAAAGAACCTGTGATTGAACCTGGTCAAATATTTGGAATACGTGGTTCAATTGTTTCTTTCATTGATCGTTTAGACGATGAGTTCACAAAATCATTACAAAATATCGATCCACATACTACGGATTACGTGGATAGATTGAAAGATGAGACGGACCTGTATGACACTATTATAAGGGGTCAAATCTATTTTGAAAAGAATGAATTAAATGAGAGTACAAGCAGGGTCGTTATGAGAAGGTTGGAACACCTGTATTATAAGGTAATCTTTTACCTATGAACTATTTTTTTTTTTTTTTTTTTAATTTTGATTAATGAACTTATATAATTTTATAAAGCCTGATCAAGTAATACAAACAGTCGAAAACACAGTTCAACAGTTATACCCGGCAGGTCTTACCTCAAAAATAACCTCACCTACGTCCAGCAGTGATCCTTCAGATTTAATTCACGCACTTTGCGTTTACCTCTACAAGAAAGGCGAATCTCTGTTACGTACACGTGCTATGCTTTGTCATATTTATCATCACGCGTTACACAACCGCTTTTATGTTGCGCGAGATATGCTCTTGATGTCACATTTGCAAGATAATATTCATCAAAGTGATGTAGGAACTCAAATTTTGCACAATCGCACCATGGTTCAAGTTGGCCTTTGTGCTTTCCGGGAAGGGATGATCAAAGAAGCCCAAAGTTGTTTACAAGAAATTTGTGGGACAGGTCGTGCGAAAGAATTGTTGGCTCAGGTAATTATAAGTTGTTTCTTTGAAAGACCCGAAATATTATAAAATAAGTAAGATTACTAAAAAAAAAAAAAAAAAATTGAAAAATCGAAAAACTGCAGAAATTTATCAATTTTTTGGGGGTTTTTTTTTTTTTTTAGCAAAATTTGCACAAAAATAAGCAAATGCTAACCTTACCTATATCAGAATATTTCGGCTGTTTCCTTTGACATAACAATTTGTTATTGTAACAAATTTTGTAATGAGTTTCTCTTTTGTAAAAATATCTGTTTTTACATAGGGTTTACAATTACAGAGATATTCACAACTCCCATTAGAGCAAGAAAAACTAGATCGTCAACGCCAATTACCGTTCCATATGCATATTAATTTAGAATTATTGGAGTGTGCTTATTTGACATGCTCTATGCTTTTAGAAATACCCAGCATGGCGGCTGCAGGATCAAATCCCGAAGCACGTAAGAAGGTTATTAGTAAACCTTTCAGAAGAATGTTAGATTACAATGAAAGACAAGTCTTCAGCGGTAAGCCTTTTACCTACGAATTTTATTATGATTTTATAATATCAATGCTTATACTAGATATTAATTTAAAAAAAAAGGTCCCCCGGAAAATACGCGGGATCACATTATGGGCGCGGCTAAGGCACTTGCTGCGGGTGAATGGAAAAGATGTCAAGAACTTATAAGTGCCATAAAAATTTGGGACTTAATGCCAGAAACGCAAAAGATAAAAGAAATGTTGAATAGAAAAATTCAAGAAGAAGGCCTTCGCACATATTTATTCACATATTCAGCATATTACGAAACGTTAGGAATTGAGCAATTAGCTATAATGTTTTCTTTGCCTACGAATTCAGTAACTGCCATAATTTCAAAAATGATTTGGAATGAAGAATTGGTCGCATCACTAGATCAAGTCGATAGTGTTGTCGTATTACACCGAGTTGAGCCGACAAAGGTTCAGCAGTTGGCCTTAATGTTTGCTGAAAAAGCAGCATCGTTTGTAGAAGCAAATGAAAAAACACTAGAATTGAAACAACAGGCCGGACAAAATCAAAGAGATCAACAAAGGCAAAAAGGTTAGTAGAAATACATAATAAACAATTCATTTAGTCATATAATTTGATACTTTCTAACTATTTTAATTATTATTATTATTATTTTTTTAACATTTTAATAGGGCAAGCCAATCAACAACAGAATATTGAAAAACGAACGACCTATCAAAAGAGAGATGGACAACAGCAACGGTCTCGAAATAATTTCAATAATGTTTTGGGTAATAGTGTACGAGGAAGGACGCAACAAAATCGATATAGGTCATAAATTAAGCATATAAAATAACAAAACAATATTCGGTATTGCGTATTTGTAAATTAATCTTTTGTATTAAATACAAGCAATACAAAATGAATTTTTATTAGAAAAAATTTTCGACAATTAGTAAACCTGGTAATTGTTTTATGTTTTGATTTCAATCTGAAAAAAATAAGTTATTAACCAGGTAATAAAAAAAGTGACCCTTGTTAAGCGTTAAGCGTTAGTAAATAACTAATCGAAACAATTACGCACTTAATGAAATATTTACATATCAATTATAATAAAACATTGTTGACAAAAATATTTACTGATCGGATTCTTGGTAACCTGGAATAGAAATCATGAAACCATGTGTATTAGTTGGTTTATTTTGTCTATATGTAACGTATTTCACGGGTAAACAATTAAAAATCGAATTCTAGTATATATGGTTTAAATTTGGAATAACTTTAGCGTTAGTGTTAAGAGCTAATTTTTCTGCCGTAATAGGTATAAAAAATATTTATTACAGGGAAGTACTGAAGTACGTAGTGTGTTAGATATCAATATCAATATCAATATCAATATCTGTATCGGAAAAGTACATCACGTGATTCAGATGTTAAAACTTTCCTACCTAGAACTCTTGTTTTAGTATATTGCTTTAAAAGATTCCTAAAAATAATTAGCAAAAATACAGTAATTAAATGTGCTCTAAATTACCAAACCTTTGTGAATATTAAATATTTTGATAGAATTTCTTATTTGCTTACCTGACAAACAAAGCTAAAAGATTGACTTGATTACCAATGCATACAAAGAGCACAACGAAGGATTCACATGTGTCATTATAATCCCACGTATCAAAAAAAATTAAGCATAACCATAAAAACAGAAATAAGTAATATATATATTTTATGTGACTTTATGAAATTTGTATGAGATATTTATCTATATAAATAAATTTATTTCGCGGTCTTTTAATATTTAAATTCCTACGTATTGCATACCCATGCCTATAAAAATTTGAAACATAGATATATAATAAAAGCGCACATTCTAATATATCACAATAATGTTCTGTATGTACATATATACTTGCATATTATAAACAATATAAAAAAAAATTTTTTTTTTAAATTAATTAATTAAAAAAAAAAAAAAAAAAATTTATTTTAACTGTTTTTTTTTTTATAATAGATACGTATAAAATAAACGGCCTCTTTCAGTTTAATATAAATTGGTCAATTCGTTTTTCCTCTTTCGTAGAAGTTCAAAAAAAAGAAAGTCTCTGACTAGCATATTTTATGGGCCCCTTAAAGCCAACTTTTACTTTGATATAACTTTGATATAACTTTGATATATAAATATTTTTACTATTATATAAAATTATATATATAAACAGCTTAATTTCAATTCTTTTTGATTCTTCGTCTCGAGACAACCACAATATCTATAATTTTCTTCTCTTCCTTGTGCCATAATTTATTTTCTAGCCACTTTATGCGGCCACCTTTCCCCTACAACGGCTTATTACTTTTAATTTTTTAAAAAGAAATTCCCTTTATATGTATATTAAAAAAACTTGTCGTAAAATGAACAGCGACAAAAAATTATCGAATCTTCCGTATGCAAATGTACAACGGATGCCATCTTCAAGGACTGCGACGGCAGCCATGATCTCAACAAAAAGCTCAGAAACAGCATCCAAAGCATCAACTCTTCGAATTATTAATCAAGAAGAACTTCGCAGTTTATTCGAACAACGAAAGGGATCTCAATACTTCATTCCTGAAGGATATGAACCGATTTTAATTCCACGCGATTCGCAACTACAACCTGTGGCAACCCTTTTACAAAATAATAAAGGCTTACAACAACGTTCTCTACAAAAACAACAATTAAAAATTCAACAAGCCAACCAAAATTCGGCAGCGCCGGGAGTAGTCGTTGTTAATAAAACCTTGACACAACTAGTTTCGCCCCTAAATTGCAATCTAAATTCTACACCGCCCGACGTTCGGTTTCCTCATTTAGTGTTGGCTCGTGCAACACCGACTCCGCGGGGCGGAGCGGTTACTAAAACAACAAAGCCTAAGAAGCCTCCAAGACCTCCTAACGCATTTATACTTTATAGACGTTCTAAACAACAAGCTATAGTTGCGGCAAACGAGGGAATATCAAACAATGAAGTATCAAAGCAAGTTGGGGAAATGTGGCACAAAGAACCCATTGAAGAGAAAATGAAGTTTCAACGACAAGCCGACGCGGCAAAATTGGAACATATGCGAAAGTATCCAGAATATAAATATCGACCTAGAAGACCTCATGAAAAACGTCGTCGAACAAAAAGGTCGAATATTAATGCTAACACTGGCAATAATAATAATAATAATCATAATGGAACGACGACTAACGTATCCACAAACAACATTAATAAAAACGAACATGACAATTTAAATACACCTAATCCTTTAACAACAAATGATGATAATGATTTATTGTTTCAACATCAATTAAGTCAATCGGTCGATCAAAATACTTCAACTGATACTATAAATACAGTCGATACAGGATTTGATTATTACGAAGATGAACCTCGTCGAAATTCAATACTATCAGCTCAAGATATAAATGATATTGATTATGAAGAATTTAATTATGATCAAATGCCAATTTATGATAATGTATCTAATATGGTAGAAGAATCTAATCAGATCCAATATTCGGTAAATTCATGTTCACCATCAACATCACCGAACGAATATGTACGTATAGAATCCTCGACCTCTTTTGATATTATGATGGATGGAGTTTCGCCAGACTCAGAATCAGATGCAACTTCGTTCGGATTCTTTGATTACGGATATCAATCGCATCCCGGTGAATCATTTGGTTATTTACAACAGTTTAACGTTAACCCATTTGATTTTAGCGCAATGATCCCATCTACATCACATATCGATTCTTAATAATTCACAATACGCAATAGATACCTTCATTTCAATTTAATACCTACTTTTTTTTTTTAAATATTGTAATTTATATAAGAATGATTTGGGGGTACCAAGGTTTCTTAATACAATAATCCTTGCATTTACTACGGACATTTTCAAAAAAAAAAAAATCAAAAAAAAACAAAAAAAAAAAAACAAAAAAAAGAAACTCTATCAATCCTTTTTAAAAAGTATAAAAATTCATTTCTTTCTTGGAGGAATCGATTTTTATTGATATCATTTTATTATTATTTATATTATTATTTTATTTGCCAAAATTCTTGGGTTGGTAATTAATTTTTTGTTCAATTATAAAAAAAACAAATACTATTAGAAAAGTCCGTAATTTGCAAAGGATTTATTTATAAATATAATTATACTTTTATTATAACTTTTATTATCTCTTTTCTATCTTTTCGTAAAAGTATAGAAAAACCTTATGTACATAAAATATTTTGTAAAAAAAAAAAAACATCATACGAATTTTTTACCTTTAAGTTTATGAATCTATCTCTTCGAAGGGACTTTGAACATTCTTTTTTTTTTTTTTTTGTGTTCCAAACCAAATTTTTTTTCTCTAATTTTTTTTATGAAACAAAATACTTTGTTCCTTTTTTTATTAGTATTGTATTATACATTACGATCGTTGTAATAATTGCCGGCATAAAAGTTCTTTACATAACTATCGTATTATAAATAAAGGACACGAAGTCTTTTTTTTTAATTAAACAAATTAAATTGAGTTTTTTCACCGAATATTCAGTAGTAGCGATAAAGATAATGTATAAATAATAAATTGTATACTGATGCATATATATGCATATATATATGCATATACATATATATATATATATTTATATATATATATACGGAATTGTGCATGCTTCATTGTAGGTAACATAAAAGTCTTCACAAAAAGATGACAAGATTTCTTGTGGATTTAGTTAGCATTTGATTTATTTGATTAAAGTGCATATCAAATTTTACACAGTATATAACGAAAAATTAAATGATTTAACATCTTGGGGATCATTGAATGCTAAGCATCATTACACGCATAACGGTAACATAGACATTCTAACTTCATTGAATGTTTCATTGAGTTTGATTTTTACAGTATATTCATTCGTTTTTTTTTTTTTTTTAGATACATATAGTATAAGTCGTTACTGCTGACAACTTTATTTTTAAATATTGTAAATGCACCAATAGTTTCAGATCGTGATTTGAAAATATCCCATTATATCATATATATCGTATATATAATATATATATATATATATATATATATATATCGTATTACATCTTTTTAAATATATAGCTTTATTGTATATAGCTCAGTTTTTTTTTTTTTTTTCTTATTATATAGTTATATATTAATAAACAAGTCCGCCGTATTACGTATGTGCGTACTAAAGTACTAGGTACGGAGATACGGTCCGAAAACCCGTAAAACTTCATGTTCAGTCACGTAGTTTATGTATATTAAAAGTTTAGGATTCACCGATATTTCTGTATTTTTTATATCCTAAAACATTTTACTAATTATTGTTATATTTTTAAATATCTAAAAAAATTATATCGATACTAAGGCAGATCAAGACATATTCAACTGTCATAAAATCCATTTACTATCATGTCAGTAAACATTTCCCTCTGGACCATAAGTATGTGCGCATTTATAGATAGCAAAATATAACTCACACTCGTTATAGTGAACTCTCGATATAGTGAAGACTAATTACAATCTCGATATAGTGAAGTTAAGTTCAGGGCTAGTCTGTATAAAATTCTCTCGATGTAGTGAATTTACTAATAAAACTCTCTATATAATGAATTTTTAAAAAATTTTTATTAATGAAACGGATCATTTCACTACAACGTGAGAGAGTTGTATATGGAATTTATATAGAACGCGCGTATTTCGTTATTAAGCGTGCATTTAATAAGGTTTTTGTTTATAATCCCGATTTTACAAGGGGTTTATAAATGTTTTTTCCTTTTTTCCGTACCCAAATATTACATGCTATATAGAATCATACGTAATAAACTCTATCACATTGTGATCTAATGAAGGGCAAATAAAAATGTGGGAACAGAGAAAAACGTCACACAATTTACAAACATTAAAATGTTAAAATGATCTAAAAAAATAAAATATACAGTTAAACATATACAGTTAAAATTTAAAGTTCTAAGATGTGATTACGTAATAAATTCTGATAAACTTATTTAGAATGTACAAAGATACGCATATATGTACATGCTGTATCATGAAGATTTGTGATGAACAACGTGCCATGGATATTTCAAATATATATTTGGCTTTAACCTTATTTGCTACCAACTTTTGGGCAACTAACATTAGTTTCCGGTTCACTTTGTCCGATTCATAACATAAATTAAATACTGTACGTACGTACGTACGTAATCCAAATCCATCTTCCCACATGCTTTCCGTATCTTCCGAGCTATTACCAAGTTCTAAATGTGTGCGATGTGGCGTTTGATTAACCGATAAAAAGTTTATCCGTACATACGTCTTGATCATGCACACTTCGGATTCTCAATTATTATATATATGAATAATTTAACGTTAAAAGTAAAATAAGTAAAAATAAATAATTTATAATATTCAGAATAATTTAGAATAATTTAATAATTTATTATCACAAAACGCACACAACTTATGAACAAGATAGTGCAAACAGAATATTCTTTAATTCTTACAGAAACATAAAACCGTTAGGATCATGTTTCTTATGTGTAAAGATAAAGCTGTCTTACCGTGTGCTTTGACTATTTAGTTAAACGCCTAGCATCGAGTAAGGTTAGAAAATTAATTTGATCTATTTTAGTATGAGCTGATAAATTTAAAAGTTCGCCCAATTTAAAGATATTAGTTTTCATTGGACAAACCGACTGGTTTAAATAATTTATATAATTTCTTTTTCATGTTCATATTATTCTACCATGAACAATGCGAAAATAACTTGATTGCTTCACTTTGTATTTCATAAACCGACCAAAAGAGTTTGAAAAAGTAAATGTTTATTTATGTTGCCCAATTTGTGTAAACTAATCAGCAACTGTGTTACTTTCTTGCTTTCTTTAAAAGATGGTCTTTTTAAGCATTTAATAATCCACATGATTCACGTGTAAGCATCTAAAATAGTGCATATATCTTATTTGTACCATGACTTTATATGAAAAATTTGCGTGATCACCACAAACATGACGTAGAATCCAAGAATTTTGGCCAGAATATATCATATTGGGTTATAATTTAGTCATTTATGTTGGAAAGCAAAATGCCTCAAAAATTTTAAACTTTTGAGCAAGATTTTCTTATCATTGTGTTATAATGATTGTTATAATGATTGTTATTTCGTTATAAATAGGTGATACATGCTATTCTAGGATTAATAAAAATTAGTAATAGACGAAATATAATTTAGCAATATTTTTTTGGGATGCAATGCAACAATGAAACAAGATATTAACTAATTTCTTTTTTTTTTTTTTTTTTTTGCGTGAGAATGATCATAATTAATAGTTAATAAACAGGTGATGAGATTGTAAGTACCAATAATCACTGTCATGAATAAAAATATAATACGCGCGGAAGAACCGTTGATACAGATAATATAGCGAGCATGCATATATATTTATCGTTAAATGAGTCATTACATTCTAAATAAAAATATATTTTTGCATATTTATAAATAAATCAATGTTTTCTCCGAATTTATTGTAAAATAATATTCCTAATTTGATAATTTGAGTAATTTGAGTAATCTGAGTAATTTGAGTAATCTGAGTAATCTGAGTAATTTGAGTAATCTGAGTAATCTGAGTAATCTGAGTAGTTTTGGAGCAATGTTCTTAATTTCATATTTGAAGTTTCATTACTTTCATTCTAACTTTATTCCTAATAAATTCGGCAGTTCAATTAAATATTAAATGCATATGCTACATTACTAACCCTGTTTGGTTACATACCATTTTGTCAATAATTTATTAATAAACACTTTAATAAACACTTTATTTTACGATAAAGGTAAAAAAAAAATCAAACAATATAAATTTGTTAAATTATGATGATCATGCATGTATGGAACGAACCCTGCCGGCAGGTGTTGTGTAATTATTTTCCTTTCAAAATTTACCGCGTTTGTGTTTTGTTGACAATCATTAGACGTAAGTTGTCATCAAAAGTGATATAATTAGGTCAATTGATGTTCTTTTATGATATAAAAACGATTTCTTTCGATTATTTCATGTTTTATCGTTAATTATTAAAAATATGTATTTAATAATGTTGTAGAGTCTTCTATTGTGTAGTCTTTCTTATTTTCCTTACTTTTCCTCACTTTTACCTACTTTTTCCTACTTCTTAATACTTCTTATGCTTTGTTTGATGTCTATTTTTCCTTCGCGCCATCTTCATTTCACTTATTCCCCGTCTGGACATCTGCCGATCATTGCCCTTATTAGAAATTTCGTAATGCCCAATGAGTTAATAATTTAAAGCAGCTTGATAATCATTATGACATGTGTACTCATACTTACCTGTTGTCTACCTGACATTACAGACCCAAGGAAGGTTTGATTTACTTTTAATAACTTTTTAAGGAGTGGTCGAGTTGATAATTGCTTTTAAAATATCGATAATGTACACAATAAAAAAAAAACATGGCGCAATGATTTACGAAACACCAAAGTAAAAATATCTGTTTCAGGCTCCTCTGCTGTAATCTGTAATTCTCTGTATTCTTTAAACTTTTAAAAAATGCAACTCCCGATTACAACTCCCGATTGAACTCCCGCTTTATTTAATCTTAATAAATAAAACCGGAAATAGTTTGAGATATACACGCGTTTAACTATAAGTCAATCTGGTACTGTATCAACTTGCTTATTTGTTTAGTCTCTTTGACCAATTGTAAAAATATCTTTGACGTATTTGGCAGCAT